CCTAACAGCTTCCAGAGAGAGAAAGAGAAAAGCAAAATGAAAGCAGGGAATGTCACTGGGTCTCTCTGAAGCACACGGTAAACCAGAATCCTGCACAGAACTGATTTTCAACCTAGAATTCTACACTCAGCTAGAAAACAGAATAAAGACACTTCAAACATAAATGACCCAAAACACCTAGCTCACGCGTACTCTCCTGGGAAATGACAGGAGAAAGAGCTTGTCCTCCAGAGGCTTTCCCTGTTCCCCAACTGGAATTCCCAGCTCCCCAATCCCAGAGCACTGTGTTAAAGCACCTTGTATTTGCCCTGGCCCCAAACAGTACATGGCCACGTCTGAGCATCCTGTACCCTCCCCAAGTGCAAGCCTGTACCTATAAAACACTAAGTACTCAAGAAGAATCTGTTAAATCACCATCGGCCAGATATGCCTCGAAATTTTGCCTGTCATTTAAAGAATGCATCCCACAAGCACTGATTATCCCATAAATGCCCCCTTTTTATACGATAATGGACTTGTTTTAAAATGAAACATCTATGTGCACAATTCAAGAGCAGTGGTCTTGCTTTAGTAAAGCCTTTTTCTTAGACGTTAGTTTATTAGAGCAGTTTTAGGTTCCCAGCAAATTTTAAAAGGTACAGAGACTTCCCATAGACTCCCAGCCCCTACACATACAGAGCCTCCCTCATTAGCAACATCCTCCAGCCGTTCTTGCAACTGATGAACCTACACTGACACATCATAATCACCTAACATCCACAGTTTATATTAGGCTTCAGTCTTGGTGTGGTACATTCTATGCGTTTCAACAAATGCATCATGGCAGGCATCCACCATTACCGTGTCGTACAGAGTAGTTTCACTGCCCTAAAAATCCTCTGTGCTCTGCCTATTCGCCCCTCCCCCACTGGGACCCCTGTGGTAATGCTTTTTAATACTATTTGTTTGGAGTATGGGCAACATGTTTGCAGTTCTGTGGGCCAGGTCTCTCTGCAACTACTCAACTCTGCCATTGTAAAGTAAATGCCTCCATAAACAATACGTAAATGATGGGCATCTCTGTGTACCAAGAACACTTTTATTTACCAAACAGGCAGCCCACATGCTGTCATCTGCCGACCCCTGGACAACAGTATCACTTTATTCATTCCCACCATTTTATAGAAAAGAAGTTTCTTAATAGCTTGACTTGGCAATAATAAGGTTTTTTGGTTTTGTTTTTGTTTTCAATTTTTCTCTCTGAAATCTATCCTCTTTCTGGAAGTTGAAACAACACCCAATCAAAAGCTGAGATGGTATGATGAAAGACAATCCCCTTTCCAGAATATTCCTGCTTTGAAGCCACACTGCCCTTTCTCCACTTTAAACCCCAAGCTTCTCAGAACTCTGAAGGAAATCACTCGCTCTTTGAAACCGTGATCTCTGCTTTTCCAGCAAGCGTGGCTTGGGCTGCCTCACAGAGCAAGTCCCGTAGCACGGCTACCACAGGGACGTGCCATTTGCTGAAAGTCTGGCACATGAGCCCTTCAGGGCAGTGCCGTTGGACTGCTTATGGTAAACTGAGAACAAGATCTTTTGTCTCCAAAAGTAATCAACATTTGTTCTTGCGTTCAAAGAAAACCAACTGTTCTGCAGGACAACATGTGGACCTCAACTACCTTCCAGTCACCAATTACCCGTGAACAGAACAGAAGCAAACCCACGTTTACCTAGAGTGGGGAGTTCGTCTCCGGAGATCCCTTGGTCCAGAGGCCCTGTGTCCACTCACCCAAATGCAACCCACGAAGTTGATTTTACTGAAGGGAGAAAGAGT